GGTACATGAGAAGAATTATCCGGTTCACGACCTTGAGTTAGAAGCTATTGTTCATGCCTTGAAGATTTGGCGGCATTATTTGTATGGTGTACATTGTGAGGTTTATATCGATCACCAGAGTCTACATTATCTATTTAAACAGAAAGATCTTAATTTGCGGCATCAAAGGTGGTTAGAGTTGCTTAAGGATTATGATATCACCATTCTCTATCATCCCGGAAAGGCCAATGTGGTGGCCGATGCCTTGAGTCATAAGGCGGAGAGTTTGGGCAACCTAGCATACATGACGAGGATCCGTCTCATATTTTGGATTTAGGTACAGTACAGCTGCACGGTAATTTGACTTATGATGTGGAGCCGTTGGCTATTTTAGACCGGCAGGTTCAAAAATTGAGGTCAAAGAACATAGCATCAGTGAAGGTACATTGGAGAGGCCAGCCAGTCAGAGAAGCTACTTGGGAGATTGAGCAGGAGATGTGGAGCAAATATTCACACCTATTTGAGGCTCCAGGTATGATTCTAAACCCGTTCGAGGACGAACGTTTATTTAAGAGGGGGAGAATGTAACGACCCGGCCGGTTATTTTGAGTATTATAACCTCATTCCCCCATTTATTGCTCAATTTATGCATTATAATTATTTTATGACTTACGGGGTTAGTTGGTTCGAGTCTGGAAGGAATTCAGAGTGAAATAAGACACTTAGTCTCATAATTGAAAACTTAAGTTAGAAAAGTTGATCGGATGTGGACTTATGTGTAAAAGATCTCTGATTCAAATTTTGATGATTCCCATAGCTCTGTATGGTAATTTTGGACTTAGGAGCGTGTCCGAAAAATTATTTGGAGGTCAGTAGTGGAAGTAGGCTTGAAATGGCGAAAGTTAAATTTTTGGGAAGTTTGACCAGGAGGTTGACTTTTTGACATCGGGGTCAGAATCCGATTCTGAAAATTTAAATAGGTCCATTATGTCATTTATGACTTTTGTGCAAAATTTGAGGTCAATCGGATGTGATTTGATAGGTTCCGGAGTCGTTTGTAGAAATTGGAAATTTTAAAGTTCATAGGCTTGAATCTATGTGTGATTCGTATTTTTTAGCGTTGTTTGATGTAATTTGAAGGCTCTACTAAGTTGGTATGATATTTTAGGATATGTTGGTGTATTTGGTTGAAGTCTCGAGGGTATCATGTGAGTTTCGAATGGTTAACGAATCAAATTTGGGCTTAGAGAAAAAACTGGAAACCTACTGCCATCTGATGCAATCGCACCTGCGGAAAATGGCTCGCAGGTGCGAGCTCGCAGAAGCAAGCCTGGCAAGCGCATATGCGGAAAAAAGGATGTGAGACAGTGGTCGCAGGTGGGAGGGAAATTCCGCAGAAGCGGAGCGAGCCTCACAAATGCGAGCTTGCAGAAGCGGCTCCAGTGGATGGCAAAACCGCATAAGCGGTTTGATTCTTGCACCTGCGAGTCCGCAAAAGCGGCTAAGTGAGTCGTAGTTGCGGAACCCCTGGACAGTATACATTTCGAAGGTGTTCCGAGTTTTGCCATTTTTGAACCTTCAAGTACGGTTTTGGGGCGATTTTCAAAGGGAATTCAAGGGAATCTTGAAGTAAGTAACTTGTGATCATTTCTACTCCATAATATTGAATTATCATCGAATAATCCGACTAGATTACATGTTTTTGAGGTATAAATCGGGAATTTGAACTTAGGAATTTGAAAATAAAATTTAAAGATTTAGAGGTCGAGTTGAGGTCGGATTTTGGTAAAATTGGTATGTTTAGACTCGTGGTTGAATGGACTTTAGGATTTTGTATCTTTTGTTGGGTTCTGAGACATGGGGCCCACGGGAGATTTTTGAGCTAAATCTCGGATTTTGATGGAAAATTAGTATTTTCTTATGGAATTTATTTCCAATAAATTTTATTAACTAAATCGAATTATTTGTGGCTAGATTCGAGGCGTTTGGAGGCCAATTCACGAGGCAAAGGCATAGCGGAATAAAGAATTACACGATTTGAGGTAATTAACAGTATTAAATCTAGTCCTGAGGGTATGAAACCCCGAATTATATGTTATGTGATTGGTTTTGAGTTGACGCACATGCTAGGTGACAGACGTGTGGGCGTGCACCGTAAGAATTGTGACTTGGTCAAATTCCATAAAACTGTGAAGTTGAATAATATGTTGATATCTGTACATTCTCTACGTGTTAGAGGAAATTGAGTTGAGACTCATATTAAAAATCATGCTTAGACATATGTTATTATTATTGGTACCCACTGGGGTCATTTCTATGGTTGAATATAGGTTCAAATTGTAATTTCACACTCAGTCATGTTCATTCATTTCATATCATATCCCAGTCTCTATTGCTATTTATTGATACATCATATTATCATTCATGGATTGATTTTTCATGACATCCTGAGCTCGAGAGACTAGATAGATTGATGACTGAGTGAGGCCGAGGGCCTAATTGTGAGGATATTTATGGGATCGGGCTGCACGCCGCAGCATGTTTCACTAATTAATGCCATGATTGACTTGATATAGCGCTTGGGCTAAGAAAGCCCCTCCGGAGTCTGTACACACCCCTAGTGAGCGCAGGTACCTACTGAGTGCGAGTGCCGAGTGATGAGTGACTGTGAGGAATGAGCGACTGTGAGGAAAGAGTGAATGTGAGGAAAGAGTGACTGTAAAGTTGGAGTGAATGGGAGGATTGAGTGACTGTTACTCTGAGAGGATGCATTGTATTCATTATTTGCTGCATTTCAGCTGTCATATATCACTATTTTGGAAATTTCGGAAAAACATTATTTTCTGTTTTAGTCAAAAAAATTGATATGAAAATTTTGTGTAATTTTAAATATTGAACTTGAGAGCATGCCTACCCTTTTATGTTAGAAATTACTGTATTTGGATTTAGCTGTGAAGCTCGTCACTACTTTCACTTCTTTATTTATTATTGTTACTTACTGAGTTGGTTGTACTTATACTACACCCTGCACTTCGTGTGCAGATTCAGGTGATTCCAGACACAGTGAGTGTTGATTCTTTCACATAGTCGATTTTTCAGAGATTCAAAGTTAGCTGCTATGTTTCGCAGACCTTGTGTCTCCTTCCCTATCTTTTTGTTTATTGTATTTTGGTCTCAGATTATTAAAGACAGTGTTTTCCAGACTTGTAATGTATAGATGTTCATGTACTCAGTGACACCAGATTTTGGGAGTGTTGTATCGGTACTTGCGAGATTTTTGGATTGTGTCTAAATATTATATTTTCGAACTTAAAAGAAAAATGTGATTTTTTTGAGGTTGTCGGCTTGCCTAGTTTCGAGATAGACGTCATCACGACAGGTGAGATTTTAGGTCGTGATATTGTATCCATAAGAAATTAAAAATTCAGTGAGGAAGAATAATTGAATGTATTAGTAGGAGGACTAATTGGTCACAGCATTGTCAAAACATCAATACGATTCTGAGAACATTCAAAAGAAATAGACTAATTCCACGACCCCTCTTTTGTAAATTATATATGCATGTCATCAGTCACTCAGATATCATCCAAAGCACGCTTACTTTGACCAAACCACACCAAAAATTAAAGTTTATTTTAATTTATTCAATCAATAAAGAAATGACATCTGGCATCAACATAAGGCTTGCTTTAGTTTTCAAAGACAGTAAACTACTTGAACACATGCGTATTTTACTATTTGTTTCTAAATGTTCTAAGATATGAAGTCATTAATGATATAAATCATATATGAATTTATGTTTTATATTCTGAAAAAGCTTGTAGGAGGAAACTTGATTTATTTCTGCAGCTAATGATAGAGCGTTAGACCTAGCGTATCTTGTATTTGAATTTCTTTAGCTAGCACGCTTATGTTTATAGGTTGAGTGGCCCAATGACCGTGACACATATCATCGAGTGGCTATTTGATACTTAATAAAGAATAAATAATTTATTTGATTACAATATATATTGTGTAGTCTTTGATTATTTTTTTATAGATTTTATTATATTTCTGCACACTATATTAAATAATAAAATAACAACTAATATTTATTAAAATAATATAATATATTAGATCATAATTGTATAAGATTAATATTCTGTCAAATTATTCACACATTGCGCGAGTTCTAACACTAGTATATATAACACATACATACTTAGCTAGCGTTTGACCATAGATTTCCAAATTTGTTTTAAACATCCTGATTTGGATGAAGTTTGGTTTGAAGATGAAAATATGTTTGGACATAATTTTTCAAAACATATTTCATTTTTTTTTTAAAAACATAAAACGTGACTTATACCCATAAGTTATAAAACTATTTGAAATATCCAACAATAAATTACATAATACATTATCCCGTATATGTAGAACCTTCATCGATACCATTCATTATCATTATCACAAACCAAAGTCCCGAACATAGATAAGTTTGGCACAAAATCATCATTTTTATAATAAATTAGTACATAATACGCTATCCTAACACCATAAGCCTGATATTTTAATATCAACTGCTAATAACACAATCACTGGCTACTACAATTCGTTAAATTACAATAATATTACAAGATCCATCAGTCCAAAAAAATGATAGTAACTAGCTGGTAGATTAGTTGGGTCATAATTGATGGTGTGCTTTTTTATAAAATACAAAGTTTGGGTTAATTTTGAAATTGTTAAAAAATTCAAAGGTAATATTTTGGGTAAAAAATAGGTTTAGAGCTAGTTTTGGAATCTGGAAATTTTATTTTCAAAATTTTCTAAAATATAGATAAAATTTATTTTTTTAAAAAAAAAAAAACTTAGCAAAATCTATGGCTAGACGGGGCTTAGTACTACTCCATCTCTTTCTAAAAATTAAAAAAAAATTGAAAGGTCAAAAAAACAAGTGGATATTGTGGGGTTACCCTTTAATAAACATATAAATAGAACGTAGAAGTTCTATAAATAGTTCCATTATAACCTATGCAAAATCCAGAAGAATCCCATCAAACATCAAATCCATTTTTGTTAGAAGAATTCCTATTCCTACCCGAAATTAGTAACTTTTCCCTCTTTTCCCCCCTCCCGCTTTTTCTAGGAGAGGGGATAAAAGCTTAACAATCTTTGCCTCTTCTTCTTTGGAAATATTGTTATCAATACTTTTGTATTTTCTGAAATCTTGAACAAAAATTTGATAAGATAATTTTAATGGGTTTAATTTTGGAAGAAGAAGAGAAGGAAATGTTAATGGGACCGGCGAATTTCTCAGTAGTGGAAGAAAATTGCATATACAGATCTGGGTTTCCTCAGCCCTCCAATTTCCCCTTTCTTCACTCCCTCAATTTGCGCTCCATAATGTTAGTCTTTGTTTTTCTTTTTAACTATTCTTTTTTATTTGATTTTGGAAAATTTGGGTATTGATTTTGATGGTTTCCTGTTTTATTTGCAGATATTTATGTCCGGAGCCTTATCCTGAAGAGAATTTAGAGTTTCTTAGAATTAATAATATCAAGCTTTTCCAATTCGGAATAGATGGTACTAAGGTATTAGTCTTCTCTTGTTTTATATAATTTGGAATATTTTTTTTTGCTGCCTTTTGATCTTTATTTATTTTGTATTATTCAATATGAATGTAGATAAACATTTATTTGGGGTTTTTTCTTTTTTTGATGGGTAGATTAGGAGATAAATATGCTTTTTTTGTTGTTGTGATGTTTATGATTTGATATATGAATTTTAAATGGTATGATTAGATTACCTTGTTGAAAAGGTAAGATTCAGAATTTAAAAGATTTTTTCTGCTTCAGGAGCCAGCAGCTATACCCCGGAATGCTATAACAGAGGCTTTGAAAGTGTTAATTGGTATAAAAATCTTTTCATATTCTCTTTATCATGCTATTAGGGCTATCATTCGTATCGAAATTTGACCCTATTATTGTCTTCTTTTTGTCTCCAGATGTCAGAAATCATCCAGTTCTTATCCACTGCAAGCGTGGGAAGGTACATTAAGTTCATGTTTTGTAGTTTGAGCAGCTCTTTTGTGATTTTCGTCGCTATTTAAAAAACTGGTTTTATGTGTACTTGGCCTAATATTCTCATTTGTATGCATCTGTGCGATTCGCAATTCTGTGAAACCATATACCAGCTTAGGTGTACCGTTTATAACATCTAGTTATATGGGCAGTTGGGGTTAATTTATTTCTCCCATGCTACTCTTGAATGATGGATTAATCATTATCTGCATTACTGATAATTCTTTTGGGCACTACCCTTATCATATTGATCAAACTTTCTGTATCATTGGTCTGAAATATTTATTTTTTCTCATGAAATCTTGGCTCTCATTGCCGTTACCTTCATGCTTAATAAGACCGGATCTTGGACTTTCTTGGACATTTACAATTGAATGTTATTTGCCTACTGATTTAGGTGGCTTTATAGTATATCATGATGCTTACAGTAAGCGTGTCAAAATTTGAAAAAAATGAATGAAAATCGGTCATTTTTTATTTATTTATACCCAATATTTTCATTTTGTATACTATCTATATATACATATTTAATAAAAATTCCGACAAAGGAGTGTCACGTGACACCGCTATCCGCAAGGTGCATCTGCCCCTAGGTTTGTGATGTGTCTTGATTATATGTGGCAAGGTTATTATTGGCTTATTGCCGATGCCTAGGAATGGTTTAAGAATCATGAGAAGAACTATTTTATCCATCATGTTCTCCTCATAGAAACTAAGATCGATTGATCTCGGACTTTTGCTTGGATATTTGCAATTGAGTCTTATTTGAATTTGCTATCGATTCGGAATACAAATCTGATTGCTGATTCAGTCTTATTTGAGTCTTTTTATTTGGTTTTGTCCTTGCTTTGGTCCTTGTTTGTTTGTTTTTCAAGTGAAATATCCCGATATATTTCACCCCATCTTGACAACTCTGCTGATTCCTGTCCTTTTGGTTGTAACGTTTACGTTACTTTGTCATGCAGCATCGAACTGGTTGTCTAGTTGGGTGCCTGAGGAAATTGCAGAACTGGTGTCTTTCTTCTGTTGTGGAGGAGTACAAGCATTTTGCTGGCTCAAAGTGGAGGGAAACAGACCTGAGATATCTGGAAACCTACGATGTTTCGTGCATAAAGCATTGCCTTGAGAGCATTATCTATAGGTATTACGGTTCAAGGATGAGGCGCTTGCTTTACGGAGAAGAAAATCTGCAGAAGCCCCAAATGACTTATGTTCTATATGGGTCTTAATTTTAGGAAGGGTTGGGATATCCCCATTATTAGTCTTTACACTATAAGATTCTGATTTTTTACATTGTAGAAAATCTGCAGAAGCCGCAGATAAAGTATAGGGGTCTTCATTTTAAGAAGAATTGGGATATTCCCATTATTGTTCTTTTGATCCATCTGTATACACCAATGTGTTTCACAAGTGCTTTAGTTCAATACTTTTCTTGTTCACTTTTAAACAAAATGCTCATATGGGCGCGTGAGGTTTTATTAGACTTTTTCTTTGTTGTTTAGAATTAAATTAAATTAAATTTTGGATGTGGGTCCCACATTATTTTACTTTTTTCTCACTAAAAAATCTCTCAGCAATAATATTATAGTAACTTTTTCACCCAAAATTTCAGTAGCTCCACCAGTTTAAGAAAAAAAATCAAGAATTGTATCTATTACTTCACCATATTAAACAATCCCATATACAAGAATAACACAAAAGAATCAAATCAGTTCCAATCCAACCCCATCATCCCAACAATTGAACAATCATACCCTCAACAAGATTTTAATGCCTTAATACAGCAAAACAGAGAGAGGAACAGAGAAGTTCCAACCAAAGCACCAAAAACCGGCAACGAGAAAACCGCTCCGGCATCGGGCGACGGAGCCGACAAAGATCACGAATGCGTTAGTGATAATTTCTTGTGCAACTCCAGACCTTTTAACTCAGCGTTCCAACTTTTGTGCGGCAGAATGGGTATTTCAAGGATGACAAGGCTTTCTACTGCCCCTCTCAAATTTGTGCTATGGCTAAAGAAGATACCGTGTCTAAGGAAACAGGTCTTTTCTTTAAATTATTTTCTTTTCTTTTTTTGTAATTACATGTGTCAATTTGTTATTTTTTAATTGGTTCATTTGAGCAAGTGTCACTCAGGCACGTAGTTTGCTGCACTCGGTATTTACTTGACACACTTAATAGTCACTTGAAGTGTTAAAATAGTAATGGGATCGTGTTTGTCTGATTTTTGGGATAACTTAAAGGGGCCTTTATGTATTTCGCAAAAAAAAAAACCTATCACTAAACGAGAAAAAGCCCACCAAACTGCTCAAAAATAAAGAGCCAAACAAACTGACGAGAGCTAAATCTTGCTTAAAAGGATTACATACCTTACTAAAATAAAGAAGGAATTTTAAGAGTGCTTGATAAATCTACCTGTTGTGAGCAGAATATTTGTCTGCTATTTTAGTCTCTTATTAAAGGAAACATGCAGCATATAACAAAAGAAGAACACATTAAGATACAGGTATAAATTGCATGATTTAAGAAAACAAGAATAAAAGTACCATGAGATGTTAATAATATAGGGTCTTGTGCTAACTATCATACTAAAACCAATGAACCATAACAAGTAGGAGAAGTGCCAAGACACATAAATCCTTTTTATAAGAGAATGATGTCTCTTGTCTTCTCGATCCGCCTATACGCTATGGTACTTATACATGAATTTGAACTTGAAAGTGCTTTAACAGTTATTTTTGATAAAAATAAAGAGAGGTTAAAGGCAAGTGAATCGTGGATGATCCAAAATCCTTTATCAGCTAGTATGATCCTTATAACCCGTAAGAAAACAAAGATAAAAGTGATATCAATGAACAAAAAGGCAAGCGTTAAAGTCAAGTACAATAGTTGGTGAGAGCCTTTTTTTCCTACGGGGCCACGACTTCCACGTGTCACCTCCCCGGTTGCAGGTCCGGATTTTCACCCCATACAACATACCTTCCTTGTAAAATAAAGAAGGAATTTTAACTTTAAGACTACTTGATCAATCTACCTGTTGTGAGCAGTATTGCATTTGCCTGCTATTTTAGTCTCTTAAAGGAAATATGAAGCATATAACAGAAGAAGAATACATTAAGATACAGTATAAGTTGCATGATTTCTTTTTCTAATCAGTATTATGTCTTTAAGGAGTTACCTAAATTGATTAGCAGCGTGCTGTAGCATAATTTTAGCAATTGAAAGAGCCCTTTTTATAAGAGAATGATGTCTATTATCTTCTCGATCCCTATATGCTATTGTAGTTATACATGATTTTGAACGAGAAAATGCTTTAACATAATGTCAGCAGGTCAAGATAATAAATTTAATCAGATAATAAAGAAAATAACTGTCATTTATGAACAAAACAACAATTGTCAATAATGTGTTCAAAATATTATACTAGTATATGACATATTGGATGTAGGGAACACATTTTTCTAACATTAAATCCTAGATTAGTTTATGTACATGTCACTTTGCTAAAACCTTCTCTCTCTCTCTCTCTCTCTCTCTCTCTCTCTATATATATATATATATATATATATATATATATTTGCAGATCATTCTCTGTGTCCAATCAGTCTCTCAAATTCTCTCAATACTTGCAAATCGTCATTAAATTCAACTGTTTTTACCATGTTTTCTAAAGCAATTCTTTCGGCGTCTCTTTGTTTCTGCAACTTTAACTTTGCCTCTTGATTAATCCTGGCTTTCTCTAATTCAAGTTGCTGCTGTTTTTTCTGTATTTCTCTTGCACCCTTTTTGCCCGTGCCTCGAACTGTAGCCTTTACTGGTACTGCTTGTGCCCGACCCAAATCACTGTAAAAATTATCTAAATCAGAAACTTTAATGCTACAACTTAGTTTTGGTTTTTTATTGGCCGAGAACAATGCAGGTTCTTGTTTTTTTAATGTTGATCTTGAATCTTGAGCTTTCACTATCCTCTTCAATTTGCGTCTACTCAGGTCATCAAATCTATCAAAGCTCTTAGTATTACTTAATTCTTCCTCAAGAGAAATCAAGCCCCTTTTTTTAATACCATTCTGCATTGTCCGAAACATCTGCTCTGATGGCATTATATTCTCCCTTTTCTTGTGATGAATAGCCATTGGCATTGGCATAGTGAAGAATTTTACTTTAAGTAATATCGGTCTATTTTTACAATTCTAAACAGGTTTGGATTTAAGGATTTACTTCCTATTCCAAATTGATGTTTACTTTATATTTTTCTCGAAAAAAAAAGTAACGAAGCTTACCAAAGAGTGTCTCACAAGTAGTTTGTAATATAGTTGGAGTATTGTCAGGAAATTGATTCTAAGAGTATGATGAATAACTAGAAATCAAGTTAAATATATATAGAGAGCATAGGACTTTTCCGACTACATTTTGGAGAAAGGGTCTTAGTGTGAAATATAGAAGGTTTAATAAACCAAAACAGAATAGGTAATATCTTTTGTATCCTAATTTGATTTGTTTTCCATTACAATGTAATTCTTTCTTCTTTGTAGCAAGAGGATAATAATCACCTAAATAAATTATTTAGCCTACAATTTTTTTTAAGAACGTAATAAGTATATCGAGACTAATTTACTGGGAAAAAATAAAATAGTAAGTCTATTCTAGTAAATAGGAAATTTTTTGTATAGTATATATTTTTAGATTAAATGCTAAAAATAAAAAAGTTCACACCCAATGGCCAACAAAGATTGGAACTTAATTTGCTAAAGAATTAAAAGTATAAATATAACACAATTCCAGGTCCAAGAAGAATCCCTTTTCATCCAAAATAATAGATTTATGACACTAGAGTCGAAATTGAGAAAAATCTCCTATTCCGGTACCAAAGTAAAAAAATGAATGGGGGTGATATTAGAAAGAAATTTTTTTTTTTTTTTTGTGACACAAATGACTTTTTGAGATAAAAAAAATTACTAATTAGCAAAGTTAATTAATGTCAGTTGATTAACAAATGCATTAAAAGTCCACTTAAAAATTAATTTCAACTTTTTGCAATATTTTCAGAAAGCATGACAAAGTTTAAAAAAAAAAACATGGTGATCCTAGGAAGGAGACTCCCTTTTATTGTGACATAATTTGACTTTTTGAGGATTAAAAATTACCACTTCCAGGGGCAATTGCACGCTTTTGTATGACACTGCTTCCACTAATTCTTTACTAAATATATGTATTAATACAGTGAAGTAAGAAATAAGTACGAAAAAATGACACCACTTGACATAAATTATCTCTTAGTTCATTGGTTATGTGCTTGATTTTGCTCAAAGAGGTCAAAGGTTTAGACCTCAACTAGCATATTTGTTTTGCAAATATTTAAGAGAGCCTCTGTGGTTAAAAATTGTGATGAAGTAGAATTGAAGTCACGACCATTTCTACGTAAGACTCAACAAAATAAATCGACTAAGACTATTTTTTGTCTAAAAATATGATAGTTAAAGTTATTAATCTCGTTCTTCTATAAATTTCGACACCACTTACAAAATTACTACGTATGCCCCTGACTACTACTATACAAGTTACTAAAGCTGAACATAATGTCAGTTAATTTTGCATGGTATAACTTAGTTATACACGATATTTATTATAAATAAATACACTTTAAATTAATTATAATATATAGCTACAAATTGGGTTTTATAGTATATACCCTCTCTAAGGTTTTAACCCTAAAGTAACTTTTTCCTCTCTTCCTCCTTTCATCTTTGTACTATAGCCTAGCCGCCTCTCCCATCTCCCTTAAACTCTCTATTTTCTAGTGTTACAATCTCGCCGGAGAACCACTGTCGGCCTAACCCACTAGAACACTGCCGTCTGACCTCCTTTTTATTTATTTTTTCTCTCCTTTGTACTCTCTCTTCTCTCACCCGCTATGTAAATTCCTCAATTTAGAACCTCAAATTCCTTAATCCAGATCGGCCTCGTCATTACCTTCATCGCTACCTTCAACTCTGGATGGAATCCATGGCCAACCAACCAAATTTCTCATGTTCGAGTGTATTTTCTCATATCTGAGTGTATTTCTCAAATTTGAGTATTTATTTTTTTTGTGGCCGAATTAAATACAAAGAAATACATATTATGGCCGAATTTTGTTTCGTCTGACCGAATCTTTGTTCGTTTGACCGGATTTTGATAGATACAATGTGATAATGTATTTTCAGATCTGGCCGGATTTTTGTTCGTCTTTTTTTTTTTTTAGTTTTAATACAATATATATATAGTGTTTTGCTTGGCCGGAATACGTCATCTCCGACGAATTTTCTTCTCTTATTTGCTATTGAGTCATATACAATGATACAAATACACTGTATTATTTACAAATACACTTAAATTTGAGTGTATTCTATATTTTTCAATGCAAATATTTATTTTTTTGTATTTTCGGATGTATTTATATATTTCGAAGTTTTTTTGTGGCAGGTCCTTGTATTTTTTTGAA